TTTTAGTTGTGGTGGACCAACCTCATTTTTCCGCCATGTGCATTTTTTTTTGAAAGAGGATGTTGTGGTGTGCTGTAACATAACAGCTCCCCTTTTCAGAGCAGCGTTTGTAGGTGGAGTTGTTTTAGGGGAGATGAGATCATGAGAAGAGATGAATGTGACGATAAGAAGTTGAAGTGAAAATCAAAAATAGAAAAGAAGTTGAAGTGAAAACTGATTAGATAAAAAAAATGTTGGTGACGAATAGAGGTACAAACGTGTTTTAAAAACGTGAGAGCCTGATACAGAGCTGTGGAAATGTAGAGTGCCAGTTGTTACTCTTTCTCAAAGGAAAAACTTCCATCATTATGACCACTAAAAGACTTGCCCAGTGAGAAAAATATAATTAAACATCTTAACATGACCCTGTTTGATTTTGGACATGCTTTTAATTTTCTTTTGATCAATAGGCTATTTCTACCCTCCAAATCAAATTCAGCATTTCCCGTGCCACCTACTGATAGGATCTGTAAAATGTATTTGTATTTCTCTCTTTTCTTAGAAATCCCTGTTCCATCAGTGAGGCCTTTAACCCAGTGGTTGGATATATTCCCCACTGAGGGGGTGCAACTAAGCTGCAGGATGCAGGGCAGCTCTGGCTGGAAATACACATGGTACAAAAATGCAGAAAAGGTCCAGGTTGGTAAAACGGTGAAAATTGAAAATGATGGAAGCAGGCTTACCATCAGCTCTTCTTCTACCTCGGACCGTGGAAAGTACAGCTGCTTTGGGAAACTGGAGGACAGATCTGTCATCAGCAGCTTCAGCTCCAATCTCACACTTTATGTTTATGGTGAGATCATTTCACTTCTTTTCATTCTACAGTGCATCTGAGTTGCCGTTTTTGATTGATCAGTTATTCTTTTGTTAAAATTAAAAACTAAGAAAGCCCTCCCTCAAACTTTGCTTTCAAATGCTTTTGTACTTCTTCCTTTTGATTATCTACCCTAAGATACAATACCGAAAGCCACGATTGTGCAGAATCCCAAGGCCAGTTTGATGCACACTGAAGACTGGGTCTCTCTCAGCTGTCACGTCAATGTCTCATCTGGATGGGACTATATGTGGTTCAAAGATGAGAGTTCACTTGTCTCATCTGGGAACACTCACAACATCTCCTCTGTGGTGGTATCAGACAGCGGATCATACAAATGTAAGGTTAAAAGAGGCAACGTGTTTAAGCCAACCCAGAGTGAAGCCATTGCGATCAAGATCGAAGGTGTGATCATTAACTTCTTTCTTTCATTGTTCTGTTGTTTAGTGTCTGTGTTAATTCAGCCGTTATTGTTTTTGTTACAGAGCGCCCACAGGCTGAAATAATCTTGCAAACAAAATGGTTGGATGCCTTTGCAACAGACAGCTTAGCGCTCAAGTGTGAGGTGAAAGATGAGAATTCGTGGAACTTTACCTGGTAATACCATAAATAAGAGTTGATTTTAACCTCTCTGTTTATCTATCTATAAAAGCCCAGACGATTAAAGAAAATCTGCTTAAAACAGGTTCATGGAGAACGACAAACTTGAGGAGTCAACCTCAGAGAGACATATAGTTACACCCAACAATGACCCTGAGCAGCATCCGTACACCTGCCAGGGCGTCCGCCAGGGGAGACCATTTTATTCAAAAATGAGTGCTCCTTTAAAGACCAAGAATCTTCGTGAGTATAGCTATGTTCTATAGTCTATTAGATATCATTCAAAATAGTCTTTCCTGTTTTCATTTTGGATTTTTTGTTTAAAATGTGTAGTCTTGAAGAGAAGAATCCTTCTTTCTATCTCTGGCCTACTCTTCTTTGGAATCATCGCCATCTTCCTCGGATGCATTGCCCTCAAATTCTTCCGCAAACCAGGTTCCTTTTCAGTCTCAAACTAATCTTAGAGTGCATCACCTCTAGAGATTCTGCGTATAACATTAAGTTGACTATGCTGAAGTTACCTTCAGCACAATTTAGCATTATTCTTTTTGAAGCTGTGTTCAGTTATGATGCAGCTTGCAACACACAGAAAAGTAAAGAACAGCTGGTAGAGTAACAAAGGTTTCTTTCGGAGGTTTTAAATGCAATTTTAGTCATACATGTGACACAAACTTTTTCGAACAAAAGCCACAAGTAGTTATCTGATTACCTGTCTTTTTTGTCACATAGCTGCAGAGAATGAGTTACCAGATGAGAACGACCTGTTTCTCAGCATGACGAAGACCAAAGACTCTCCTGGTACGCTAACAGTTGCTCTACTCGTAATGGGTTTGGCATGGTTTGGTAAATCTGCATTGATATATGTTAGATTTAGGCTCAATTACTTTACAGTAAATGTTCATGTTCAACTTCCATTCCTCCCCTTGCTACAGATGGACCCTGTCCTCTGGTTGAGTTCATCACTGAGGCCTCTCTGAAGGCCAGCCCCAAAGGTACTAAAAGAAAAAAGATATTGGGACATCTCAGCAGCATCTCAGAGCATTTATGTTTTTTTAAAGTGTTAATTTAAGAATTATAGGTGTCACACTTAATACTGACAGTTTATTTTGATCTGATACACAGCGGTGGAAGAGAATGGGGAAATCTGCAGCGAAACAACCTCATTACCAATAATATTAGAAGAGAACCAAGGTGATAAACTCAAATTGTATGATGAATGTGCCCATGATGTGTGAAGGACAACTGACTGAGTTTTTTTTTTTTTGTCCTTAGCTGTGATGACTGACACCAACAATGCCACAGAAAATGGTTGCGGGCTGGTTTCCTTTAAAGCATGAGCTTCACCAATTGAAGTTGACTGCGTAGCAAAGTTTTTTGGTACACTGGTTATAGATGGCCATTGTCATGGCAGGTTTTGCACTGTAAAGCACAACTCTGGACCCAGACGACAGATAACAAACTGCATGTTCTCTATCTATTTAAACAAGAAACCTGGATACTTTTTTAAAGTTATATTGTTCAGTTCAGTTTTTGTATGGAACCATCGCGTAGCATTTCAGAGAATGAAGTCCAATTCAGGCCAAATAGAATCTAAATAATGTTAATTATTTCTCTGATAGTCTTCGTCTATCAAGTTGTTTCAGTTTACCAAACAAACACCAGATATCTGTAGATGTAACTTTTTTTACAGCATTTTTTTAATGTTTTGAATAGTCAGCAATGAATGTCATCCTCTTTCTCCTCTTCCAAAGCAACCAGCTACATATTGTTTAAACTATGTCTCTTTGCATTTTGTGCCTATATATATATGGATTTTATCAAAATAAAAAATATAAAAATAATGCTGTGGGTGCTTATTCAAACTAACTTCAACCTGCACCATCAGATGATGATTGCAAGAAACACTAAACAGTGGGAATAGCAACTGTTGGCTGGTTTGTGTTCCAGTCCATGGAGATCTGTAACATAGACGTGGGAAAACAGTTATATCTTCACATAGACACATTTTCTAGCCACCCAGATAAAGTTGGAATGCTACAAACACACTGGACTCACATCTATTTGAGGATGTCTGTCAGTTTCTCCATATAATAGTCATAATTATCCTGGCAATCTTCCCATGGCGAAAAGCTATCATCCTCCTTCTCCACATACATTTCCCATACATGCATGAAGTCGGCTGGCTTCATCATTCGCAGCTTGCAGCCGGCATTCACCAGAGCCTTCAGGCCTTCGACGATCTCAGGCTCCTCCCACTCAAAGAGACGGGAGCAGAATATGCAGAGACGAAGCTTTTTGCGTTGTTGGAGGATGTTTGCCAACTTGGCAGCACATGCTGCGCAGGGACTGGATGATACATACCACGTCACATCATATTCCTGGGAGGGGTTAGGGAGCACCTGGAAAATCAGCAAAGAACACAACCACCATGGCATTTTAAATCTGTCTCATTTTCTGCAAAATATCATCAGGGAGTTTCTCTCAGTAGGGCACAAATCCATTTCAAAATACCTTTCCAATACAAAATGCCATATCAGATATTTTTCAGACAAACCAAGCCTTTTATTGTGAAAGAAGAAAATACTGAAATAACCTTGCTTAAAAATGTAAAATGTTTCATCCTTACCTTTATGCCTACTGAAAATCAGCTCACCTTTTCTGCACACCAACATTTTGATTTAGTACGGATATTTTTGCAAGCTGCACTGTTCCACAGAAATGTCATTACCTGTAGAAAGAAAGCCTCTTCAACATGAGCTGTGGCATGCTCATCTTCCATGTAGCCTCTCAGAGGCTCTGTGCTGCCTCCTGGTGTGTCCACTCTGAAACACAGGAGGGTTTTGTTCCGCCCCGACGAATACTCCACATTCCTGAACTGAAACTTGAAGTAGAATGGGCTCATCTGCTCCCTATCATAAAGTAACAGTGAGAGTTGTCACCAGTTAAATGTTTTTTCAATTACATCATGAAACATTCAGTCATCTCTGGGGTTACCCACTATAAAGTAATATTCCCCCTTTTGTAATAATGCTTCACAATACAATACAATGATATCCTGTGTGGTAAAAAGACAACCGCGGAGCAAAATGGTGTTTTCTACAATACTATATACTACCAAATCTTCTCTGGATCTTATCAATGATTGTGTCAGTCCATTTCTGACTCACATAAAAGGTGCATTCTCCCCGGGTCTTTCTTCATTTATCTTTTGTCATGTTGCACACAAAGAGCCAGATGCATCACAGAAATAGAGCTCTTGTGGCTTTGATATCAAATAGTCACAAAGGATGAAAACTGGGGAACAGATGCTAAGCATGTTAGGGAGCAGGGCCCAGCCCCTCTTTTCGCTCTGTGACTCATTCCTATTCTTAACACTGAGCTGGGAAAAGATAGCAGGTGTAAGCCACTAATATCCGTCCTCCATAAAATAATGCCCTTTGAATTATGATGGTATCAGAAATGAGTGACACCAGAAAGTGGATGCCTGAAAGAACTAACACTCTTAGAGGAACCAACAGAGTCTGTCTTCTTAATTATGGGTGATATAGTAAGTCTTACCCACCCTGTGACGATCTCAAAGGGAGGCAGCTCTATGGGTTGAAATTCTCCATTATCCTCGCTGTTTGCATCTGCTCCTGTTGCCCCAGCACTTTCCCCATTCTGCTTCTCCTCATCAGTCTTGGGGGGCTCTGAGGTCTTCTCTTGGTCCTTCACAGGTTTTTCTGCCTTTTTTACAGTCTTCTCCTTCCCCTTTTCCTTTTCCTTATCCTTTTCATCGTTTGCTTTGCTTTCCACCTTTTTCTCTTTCCTCTTAACACCCAGCCGGTTGGTTCTGTCAGCCATGATTTTGTGTAAGTGGGCGAGAGTGGTGGATGCAAGGAAGGGGTGACCGAAATAGAGAGAGAGAGGGACAGTGTAAGTGGGTGATAACCCTAGTGCATTTACAGAAATAGACCCTATTGTGTTCTGAGGTAGGAGTCAAAACATGTGCATGTCTGACCGAGCATGGGGGCAGGCAGCTCAGTTAACTCCACTCCTCTTTCTGTGATCTGACTGCTAAAAGGCCAAAAGACAACAAATTAGGAAGGCGCAAATGAGTCATACTAAGAGCAAAGAGAAAATATAGACTTAATGTTTTTCTATCTGCGTTAAGCAGTTGCTCAAACATGAGGTAGCAAAAATGTTCTCTGTAAATGTGTAGCCTGAGACATACACAGTGGTTCCTCTTTAATCCATTAGGCTTTCGAACTGTCATCAAGCCAGCAACAGGCAGGTTATTAATAAACGTTGCTTGGCTATGTGCATGGGGTAACCAAGGGCTTTCTAGATACTGAACACCGTTTTTGTTTGTGCCAACTCCAATGTCCCTTCAGCCCGTTTGGCTTTGAGAAGGCCATCTAAAGGTCACTGCAAATAGAGGGAAATGTGAAGCAGAGGAGCACAAACAAATGCAGGAGAGTGTTTGTCCCTGTGCTGTGAATGAAAGAGCAGTGTGGTCGGGTGTGAGTGTGCCCGTGAACAATCAATCTCTGAAATCACTCTGCATCAATATGGTGCTCTGCTGAGGCCATTGTGTGGGGGAGGGGATGAATTGGCTTGGCTAGGGTGTGTGTATTTGTGTGCAGATGGAAAATGTCTCCCTGCACTGCAGATGTAATAACTTGAGGCAGGAGGGATGGGGGGGTAGGCAGTTCAATTCCAATTTCCTCCCTTTCCTCAGTCTCACTCTCTTACAAGTAATTCATTTCAGAGGCAATTACCAAGAGGACTGCGTCCCGGCCTGGTCGTCTAACTCAAATGGATGAGCTATCACAGCCAGGGGAGGTGGGGAGGCAAGAGGGGGAGAGCAACGCTTCAAGCTGCTCCACATACAACAACAAACAACAACACACCCATGGAGCTAGCAGACAACACATGCTTGAAAGACGAATGCGCTGACAGCTCCACATAGATATCTGGGAACACATCTAAATCCACAGAGATATCTTTGATTGATTATCATTAAGGTCACAGCACTCTGATACATATGATCTTAGAGCAAATTCTTATTGTATCTCACACAGACAAAAGGATTAATTCCAAGGTTGTTGTTTTTTAGGTCAAACAAGGCTGGTTTACTTTGGTGGTTGTTTTTTTATACTGATTTTGATGCTAATTATTCCATATTATTCAAAAACAACCCCTGTATCCCTTTAATGTCTCAATTCCCTTGTACTGCGGGTTTGTGGCCCAAGTATGTATTGAGAAAAGAGAGGCTATGCAGGATGTAGCTGCTGTCTGCCTGCTGACTCAAATTTTACTTTAATGGAATTATTGTAATTACCTTGCCTCCCCACTGGCCCACCCTCATCTAACAAAGTCCCTGGCTAAGGCAAATGCACAGTATTAAATACACCATTTCACCCTTCAAAGTCTTAAAATATGGATCTAAAGTTAGTCAAAGTCAAATCTGTTATGCCACAAGAACTTATTCTCTGCCAGTTCTCTGGAGTGGATACGGGGTCAAACCCATTCCATGAAAATTACTGGCCTATATTCTGAGGAGAAAAATCTGGTTTTATACGAGATGTGCGTGACCAATTTAAGCTTTTCTCCAAAAGCATGCACCCTCACATCTGAAGACACCTTTTTGTTAGGAAGTGAAACTCATTTATTTTGATATTTAGTGTCCTACTGGTGAGTCAAACATACAAAGTGGAAAACAATAAGTGGATGGTGCTAGATGTATTGTTTAGCAGTTGATGCCATCCTGCAACTTTTACATATATTTAAAAATGTCGGCCTTTAGGGTTGTTGTACACAAGTGAAAATAAATCAAATTCTACAGTATGAAATAATTGGCCATTTGGTCATGATTAGTTTGCCAGTGTATGCTGGTGCAGACAGAAACTGTATCCAGCCATGAAAACATAAAGGAAGGAGCTTCATGGTTCTCTAGAGATCCTGATTGAGCAAAATAACATCAGACTGAACAATTTAGTCTCGATCCGCTTTTAGCCCTCAGTCAACAATATGTGGTATGATAGTCAGTATGGAGGCAATCCACTGCTCCCATCTTGAGAGTGGAATCCTCAATTCTTTCAGTATCCCATTACATGTGCTGCAGCATGAGCAGCGTATTATGAAGCCTTCTCAGTTTCTCTCAGGAGCAACACAGCTTTTTATCTAAGAGGTCATTCTCATTTCATCTTCACATGAAAAGCCTTAAGCTGCTATTTAAGTAAAAGATGAATTCTTAACTAGGTCCATAATAATCTGTAGTTGGCTTTGAGGTAGATGAGTGTCTCGAGGTTCTTTGGTAAGACTCGGCCTCTCTCTGGCAGTAGAAGGCGCTCAGCTGTGGTGAAGATGCTCTCTACCGTGGTGCCACAAGCAGGTATGGTAAATGCTCTTTTGGCAACCTGGGCAAGCAAAGGAAAGTCTATTGCCTTACGGCGCCAGTAATGCAAGGCCTCTTCATCTGTTGGTTCCTCATGCAGGTAGACAGCCAGCTCCTGCTCCAGGCTTTTGGCCTGAGTCGTGGGTCTCTGCTTAATGAAAGAGAACAGCTTGCACGGGCGAGAAAGTGCGGAGATTGGAGACTGTGCTGGGACAGGAAGGACCTGGGACTGTGGATGAAGGTCTGTGTTGAGATCTACTGGACTGGGGGCTGTGGATTGCTTGGATAATTCTTCAATGACAACTTGTCTGTGCCACTCAGGGTTGCTGCTCCATGTGAGCTTGAATTGGGGGTCCAGGGTGGTTGCGGTGATGTAGAGCGGGTTCTCCAGTATAGGGACCAGCAGACGCTCCACAGCCTGACTCAGGCCCAGCAGAAGGCCGGGGCAGTGGGGGGTTGTAGTCTCAGAAAGATGCTTACGGATGCCAAGAACACAGGGAAGAGCCAGACTGATGGACACATGTCTGTCTGCCGGTATGTCTGTCTGCCTGTCTCCATACACCATATCCCAGGCCTCGGTGAAGGGCTCCAAAGTGTCTGTGAATTCCATCAGCAGGACTCGCTCTGTGCTGCCTAGCGCTAGCTCCCCTGGACCGCTCATCTCCTCCAGGAACTCCACTGAGTCCAGCAGCCGCCGAAGGACCTTTATCAAAAGAAGTAACTTTTGTCAAATCATTTTCACTTCTTCCTCTTAAACAAACAGCTAGTTAAGTAAATGTCGAATCAATCATTACTAATGTAGATAATAGTGTAAACAGTTCATACTTTATTCACGTTAGTTATTCACTTAGTTTGTGTGCATGGGTATAAAATTTACACTGACATCACTGTATGTAAGGGCTAGTTTATACGTCTATGCTGCTCTTAAAAGTCGGCACCATCCATGAGTATTGAAGACAAACACACTTCCTACCTTCGTTAAATGATAAAACCTACAATTCGAGCTGCATAAGGTAAGGCATTCTGCCGGGAGTCTTCTCAGGAAGCATCGAGCCCCTCGCCTCACTCTTAAATTCTGCTATTGGTGCCATTAACTTAACTTGGTGACATTAACCATCAGTGAAAGCACACAGTGTGGTTCTGCTAGCCGTCTCTACATTATAGGAAGGAGTTCTTTCTCTGTTGCTGGTTTCTCTGAACATGCTTGGGGCAGGAAAATGAGTCAAAATGAAGGTGCAATGTGATCCATTGGGTTTCTTATCTCAATAATGCTTCACGACTTGACATCACACAAATGCAATTATAAAGAATTGGATTATACTGGATTGAATAAAGTTATCACGGATTTAACTGAGCTGATTGTTTCTCTCTTATGTGCCCTAAAATGACCTATTTTGGGATATTGTTACAATGTTTTTAGCAATGCTAATGAAGGAAAATGTATTGCTCCTACAATAGACACAATTTTTATTAAAGAATGCATCTTGCCTTAAGCTGAGCAGCCCAGTCTCTTGCAGCATCAGGGATATTTCCCAGTCTCCCAATAACCAACCCATCGAACACCTGGCTCAGTTTTTCCGGCGGCACAGCTGTGGTAATGTAGTGGTAAAAACAGGCAGCTTTGGCCAGCATGGATGAGATCTGTGGACAGGAGCGCAGTCCATCTCTGACACACTGCTCCAGAGAGCGAGAGAAACAGTCTACCCGAGAAACACCTAAACCCTGCTCCCATGAGTTTTCCCAGTCTTCTTCCTCTCCATCATTGCCATGACCATTCCTGATGCCCAGCTCTGCCTCAGTTCCGTTGTTCATTGCTTCTTTGTCATCTCCATCTTGCCCGGGTGGGACAAGGAAACCAGGAAGACAGCATGACCTTACGGATGTCGCTGTCATTCTTGGACAAGGATCTGCAACAACACGAAATGCTCTGCCTGACACGCCGTGGGAGTGACAAACTTCATCAAAATCAGCAAGCACGCGACTCCCTGAGCTGCCACCAGTGAGCGGAAGGCATGCCAAAAGAGCGGAGTGCATCTGCCAATCAGATGCAAGGAAATGACAGGTGACACCAAGGTACCTACGGAGAAAGAAAGAGAAGGGGACTCTTCAGTGAGAGATTCTAACAATAGTATAGTTCTGCTGGTTTTGGTTCATTTTACCTCCTTACCCTGAAGTGGCTCCAGATGAGCCCCTCCAGAGATCCAGGCTGAGGCTAAGAGAGTGGGCCGATGCCAGGGCCTGACGGGTGGCCAGTTGGGCCTGGTAGGCATAGGCTGGAAGAAGTTGGCTCTGGATGTACTGCTGGGGCTCAGGAGAGTAACGTGGCTCCAGTAGCTGAAGCAGCTCTCGGAAACCTTGATTTTCCACTATGGACACTGGCTGGAGATCACGCACGATCATCTTAGCTATCGCCTCGGAAATCATCACCTATATTGATAGAAAACAAACACATTTACTTTTATTACTGCTGCTGATATCGTTGCCATGCCAGGATGAGCTGCGCTTTTCGGGAGGACTTGGAGTTGAATGGGAGTGGACCAGAGCACACACCTGTCTGGGGTCATGTCTGTCAAATTTGGTTAATCCTCCTCCAGAGACACCTCCCGCTGCTCCCTCAAGACCTCCCATTCCTCCAACACCTCCTCCAGCTCCACCTCCACCTCCTGCTCCCTTGCTGATGGGCAGAGTATAGCGGGTGTTTCCTCCATTGGTGGTGAAACTGTGCAGGGAGCCAGATGAATAACCCTCTCGCTTCATATCCTTCCTTTTCACAAAGTCATCATACATTGTTGGGTGCTTACGCTGAATAGAGCAGACAAAGGAGTATAAGAATGTTATTTGAATGCATTCATCTGAACACATTCATCTGTATTTCAATGAAAGGACACACAGATACAGATAAATCCCCCCCTAGCTGAGAAGCAACAGACTGTATTACTTAGATCAGCTTGATACAGCTGAGCCAGCAATCTACAAAGAGATGCCGTAGAAACAGCTGTTCCAGCTGCTGTAGACAAAATGAGACTTTTAAGTATCTTTTCATACAATATTATATGCTTTTCGTTGGCAAAAAATTCAATTTTGAAAACATTACCTTCAGATGCGTAACGAAGTTTGACGTAACGCTCCGTTTCGCCTGGATTCTGGTGCCACAAGCCTTACAGTTGGACTCGATTTTACCATTCTCACCCTCAAACACAATATTAAAGTAATCCAAAATAGAAACCTTCGAAACTGACGCCATTTGGAGCCGACCGTTCACCCGCTCGGAGATCAAAATCAACTTGCTATCAAGGGAGGGAATCCGAGTGTGAGGAATCAGTCTCACCTCGCCCCCGATCATGAGCGCAGGCCGGCGTGTTTACATCCCAGTCCGGTTTTCGCTCAAGACAAATATCACGGCACAGACAAAGGGGGAAATGAATTTAAAGGACTTGCGTCGCTCGCGCGTCCAAAATCGACCGCAGTCAGGCAACGCGAGCTACCGCAGAGGGCTGGAGACGGAGAAAGTGAATGGAGAGGCCACATCCGTGCCGTCTGCGCTCCCATCCGCCGCCCGGACGCAACTGAAGCAGACGGAGCCGGAGCCTCATGGAGGCTCACAGCCAGGATTAGAATTGGGCCAGGAGGTATCCATAATAAACGGGACTTTCAATTCTTTCGACCCTTCCTGGTTATATTTGACTAATTCAGTTTATTTTCCCTCGATCTTTAAAATGGGATAGTTTTTAATGATGGTAAATGAAGGCTAGGTTTAGTTTTGATATTATATTTCAATTGCATAACAATATGTTAATGATTATATACGTTAAATCCCATTCGTAAATAGCCTATATGTAAAAATTATTTTTTCTAAAAAAAACTACTTTGACCAGACCCTATGCATATGTCTGTGTACAAGTGTACTTATGTCTGTATTTTGTATTTTATCTAGGCCATGTATACATGCAAATGTATTCAAGTTTGTCTTGCAAATTGATTTTTCAAAAAGGTATATAGATATATTAGTGGGTGCTTTTATTGCTCATACCAAATTTGTAAAACTGTAAGAATGACGCTGAATGTCCATCAATTTGCTGTTTTTTTATTTTGTTTTGTACTATCCTGAGCTATCAGAGCCATTTGGGCAGTTTGGCTCTGAAAAAGCCTGATAGTAACTGGTTTAAAGAATTTGCATTACACAAAACAAACCTTAATGAACAGAATGATGCAAAACATTTTAATACAAAATGAAAAGATCAAAACAAAAGGTGTTAAATCATTCGCTTTTTATCATTTAAAAGAGCCTTTCTACAAATGACACAAAACTACATAGTACAAAATCGAGCTTTGAAAATCATTAACTTAATCATGACCCAAGGTCAAACCATCTCCTCTTCTACAACACTGACAGATTCACAGATCTAAGACATGAATGTAATTTAATAATAGGAGCATTGACGTCATGGCAAACGTTAAGTAGAGGTTTGACAAAAGGGTCCACTTCTAAATCCCTTATTAAAGTAAAGATGACACTTTCAAGAAGAACTGAACATTTAACATTTGTTCAGTTACAATCTCCTACACAATTATCTAAGGGAAAGAAAATCCTCAAGCACAAACAAGCTAACCAAGCTGTTAGGAATAAAAAAAGTACAAGATGAGATTGAATATAAAATTTTAATCAATAAATAATGCAGCAACATCTGCGGTTCTCCCTTTTACTTCCAGTAACACGGGCTCACTGCAGAGTTCATTGATGGACTACTGACACTCGGTTGCCGTGGGGTCTTTTGTTCCCTCCTTCGCTGATGCCATAGAATCACTCCGTTTACCGTCTTTTCCAGAAGAGTGCTTCAGCTCTTCGCGGATGTTCAGAACTGACACCTGGAGCGCTGCGATCTCAGCAGAAAGCTCTATTACTGCAACAGAAAACAGAAGAGGACCTGTACTAGTAGTACACACATCAGTGCTCATCCTTCACACATTTATAAAATGATATTGTTTTTTAATGGTGAATGCACCATTCTTACATTCTCTTGATATAAAACATATGAAAAGAAGACCTGTGTATATACTGTACAATATCATGGAGAACAACATCACCAAGAGTAATAACACAATGTTAAAACAAAAGTTTCAACTTTCTGTTGCCAGCACTAATCATATATCAGTATAAACAAACAAAAAAGGCTTACATGGATTTCCTACCATCATACCTTGTTTGAATGACGACTGTGCTTGTTTCAGAGATTGTGGCACCAGAATCCCAAACCATTTCAGTGGATCTTGCTGAGGACTCTGCTCTCTTGTCCTCACTATATTCTCCCCATAGACTTTCTCAGCACTTGTGTCCTCACTTTCTTTTTGTCCAGAAATATCCTTTTTTGACTTATTTCTTCTTCTGACACCTGAGAGACCAAAAAGCATAATGGTTACATTTCTCTCATTTCAGATTCTTGTCAATTTCCTACCACCTATTATCACAGCACCTTCTTCAAGAGGTCCTATATCCTCCACAGTTTTCAGATCACTCGATTCTTTTTCACTCTTTTGTGTAGTTCTTTTGGTGCAGAATTCCACCTCACCACCATCCAGAATTCTGTAACATACAAAAACATGTAAATAAACAAATTCAAGAGCACAAAGGCTCCCCTAGAAACATTTTTCTCAATTTCTCACCTAGGATGTACACAGACAAGTGGCTCCATGTTACTTGCATATTGAAGGGAAGAGACTTGCTTGTTTCCCATGGAATATCTTGCCTGGCTCATGGAAAACCACCCCTAAATAGAGTGAAGAGATAGAGGAATACAAATTGTCATCTCCATTTGTTTTATTTTTTTAAGCATTTCCGTTTAGGGCTGGCGCCACTGAGCAGTTACAGTTTTAGCACCTACTCGGCCAGGGTTCCAAGTGGGCTGTGCGGCCATGCATTATCTCAAAAGATGCCATTAAAGGAGGTTTAAGTAAATGTGGATCAGAGTCAAAGTGTCTCTTGCTTTGGTAAAAACAAAAAACGAAAAAACAAAACAAAAAACGATTTCAAACTAATGGAAATATTTGCCCAAAAATAGGTGATCATGAATGATAACATTGAAAAATGCTTAACAGAAAAATATCACAATATATCACAATATATACCATATGATCAGCTATAATAAAGTGAAAATAGAGAGTCCTCATTCTCACAGTAATGATGAGATTCACCTCTGTAACTTGAACAGCAACCAAATTAAGTGAAACTGGGATTACAAATCAAGGACAAGTTTATTTATTTATGAGCTTTACCAATGGAAGATCAATAAAAACACGAACGCATCACATTACATTTAACAATATGGAAATAGCGAATGTCTTTGGCAATTACTTGATTGACAGCCAAACTCTACAAAAAAGTCTGCTCCTAAAACGTTTTCACAACCATTTCTGCGAATTCTAAAAAAATCCAAATACACCTATAGATTTTTGAGTCTCAAGAAAACAACAGACTTTAAAAGACATAGCAGATGAACCCCACCTGCTCAATAAGAGAGTTTAAAGTGGCTCGTTTCTCCTCCAGTAACTCGAGCTGGTCCATGAAACGGAGCAGCTTTTGGTCGAGAACAATACAAGACTCCTCTTCTTCTGATGCACCCATGTCGACTTCTTATAGGTGGATCGCTCTACAAGCTGTACCGTCTTTACGATTTACTGAAGGTAGCCCTGGAAGAATGTCGTTTACTTCCGTGTAGAATCACGTGATAAATGACGTTTCTTGACCTATATCACGTGTTAGATTCTGTGCGCGACAAAGAATGAACCAAAGATTTCATTCTGAAATTGTACATTTCAGTACATTATCAATCAGTGCATTGTCAAACAATTAATTTTACAAAAAAGATGATAACTGGCTAATTTTACAACAACCTAATCAGATATATTTGGTAACTTTTGTTATCTGCCTGTCAAATTTGTGTTTGTGTTGTTTTTTAGAGTGATTAAAAAATGAAAATACAAAGCACTTATAGACCTTTATATAAGTTATGAAAAAAAAAGAAAAGGTTAGTTCCCACACCGGGAGTCGAACCCGGGCCGCCTGGGTGAAAACCAGGAATCCTAACCGCTAGACCATATGGGACCACGTTGTTATGCACCGTGACATTTTGTATTACACATGTGCATATTCGAAATACACTTGGTAGTTTTGCTGAATTTATAATGCCAAGCATAAGGTGTATCTGCGCAGCGATAATACTTCACATGGAAAATATTTTTGAAAATATCTATTTTGTCGAAATAATCGTTTTGTCAACTGAACTGAATTGCGCTTGTTTCCGCCCTCTCTGTTCATAATCCTTGTTCTAACTTGGCGCGTCATGTCCCCCAGTAGCTCGCCGTGATCGTATAGTGGTTAGTACTCTGCGTTGTGGCCGCAGCAACCCCGGTTCGAATCCGGGTCACGGCAGGGTTTGATCCCTGACACGGCTTGGGTGGGCGATATTTTTCTCTCCTCCACTTATTCGAAACATTTTAAGCATACACATACAAAACGTGCGGTCTGACTACAATTGCTGTCAATTATTTTTTTGACAGCAATTTTCATATTTCAGTTCTGCATTGTTTCAATATCAAACACAACTGATCACTTGAATAGGCAGGATAAACGTATCATTCCTTTGGCTATGTTCAAGATGAACTTTTTATCAACTGGATATTTTTCGACTGCCCTAGTTGTTCGCTCTGTCCCTAAAACGAGGGGCGTTCCTATGGAGAGACAGATACACTTTCATTGGCGGTTGCCAACACTGACGTTATGTTCCGAGAAGAAGAGCCAATCAACAGAGCCAGCACATCGCATGTGATTACAGTTCTATGAATACAGATGTATGATTGGTTTTCGTAATCTCTGGTAACAACCCTCGCGGGTTCACAGTTCCGTATTTGACTTTATATGCACATGTAGAGTCTATTAGTTAAACCCCATTTGTCTTTGAAATACAAATAGCAACTAAATAAATACCAGAGATCTGAGAGTTAAACTGCACAGCTTTGCATCCTTCAGAGAATATCACTGGTAAGTGCAATATGACTTTTTTCACAGAACTGACTTGGAGATGATGGACTTAAATCATTTCCCAATTCTAAGATCAATAAATTACTTATTATCTTATATCAAACTGATTTATGTAATTAATGCTTAGTATCTCACAGTCTTATCCATTTTAAGTTTGTTAAATATTTGTTATAATATTGTCTCCACTAGATGATGGATGGATCTACAGCAAAAGGAGTTCTTCACCCGTACTGGCCACGAGACCTTTCAATTCCCTCTTATGTGGCCAATAACCGATCCATGTCAGAGATCCTGGCTTTTCTGTTTTCCGTGTCTGGTGTTTTTGTGCTCGTAACATGGCTGATCACAGGGATGAATGGCAGGCTGGGCATGTGGAGACGCCTGGCTATTTGCTGGTTCGCAGTTTGTGGTTTCATCCATGGAGTTATTGAGGGCTGGTTCTCACTGTATTATGACATTCTACCCGGAGACCAGAGCTTCCTGTCACAGCTTTGTGAGTACATAGTTTGATTACAATTTTGTAAATACCCCTTATGCATTTTGAATCACCATTGTACCTCTTGCAGGGAAAGAGTACTCCAAAGGAGACAGCAGATATGTAATGTGAGTACATTTATGCACATATTGAATTAGAAACCTCTCAAAAGAAACAAACTGAAAATATTTTTCTTAAAACTGTACCTTGTGTGTCGTCTCAACCCAGAGCGGATAACTTCACTGTGTGTATGGAGACCGTGACTGCTTGCTTATGGGGTCCTTTCAGTTTCTGGGCTGTATATTCCTTTCTTACTAATAAGCCCTACAGATTTGTTCTGCAGCTCATCATTTCATTGGGTAAGAAGATTACATGACTACGTTTGTATGATAGAATACATCATACTTAGATGTCATTCCTCATTCCAGGTCAGCTGTATGGAGCAGTGCTTTACTTTTTCACCGAGCACAGAGATGGTTATGCCCACAGTGAGCTGGGACATCCAATATACTTCTGGTTCTACTTTGTGTTCATGAACGTGCTGTGGATCGTCATACCTCTGGTGCTCATTGTGGATTCCTGGAAAGAGCTGTCAGCAGCCCAAGAACACACAGACAACACGAAGACACAGAAAATAAAGAGGAAGTGAGCAGCAACACCCTGAGCAGACAAGATGGAGCAAAAGAAATGTTTCATGAGAGTTTTTTTTCTCATATTGTCCATGTTCCTTGAAATATTTTTATGAATTTCAGTGTCAGATGATTCACAGATGTGCAATGAATTTATTTTTTATTGTTTTGACAATTCTGAGAAAATGAATGAATAATACCAACTTCATGGTGTCGTTTATTCTACATAACAAAGTTATAAGGTTTGTGGTTTGTAAACATACATAAATAAATGAAATACTATATATTTACATATGTGTGTGTGTGTGCATAGACTTGCTTATCTGAGTTATCACAAATTTCTTAACTCGAATGAGCAAATTAAGTCTTTCCCTCCTTCGATGACTATGTGTGTGTCTTTTATCAAAACTCTACAGTCACGTGGGCACCAACAGAGGGCGCCGAAATAGCTCAGTTGGGAGAGCGTTAGACTGAAGATCTAAAGGTCCCTGGTTCGATCCCGGGTTTCGGCATTTTGGTGCTCCATGTTAATCGTTATAGCTTCCAACACGTGGTGTGGTTATTTTACTTTCTGATTTTTTATCTCCTTCAACATAGTATTTATATTTTGTGATCAAAGCCACCCATGATTTAATTTTTACAACAGTAAAGACACAAAATTGAAGTTTTTTTCCTTAACCTTTGCAAGATGTGCAAAGTGATGTAGTTGCATCAAAATTCTAAACTACAATCAGTTAAATAAAGATTGCCATATAACCTGTGGACATTACAGATATTACTATTTAAGTTGTTTTATTTGATTTAGTGTTTTTGTTAAAGAAAAAACAGTTCTGGGTTCTTGCGGGATACTCGGGCTACATCGGCTTCCAATTTTGTGATTTTGGTAATTTGACTGTCTTGGTGGCTAGGTTTTCCTACACACCCACTACATCACTTGGTGTGTGACAGTGTGGTCCAAGTAATAACAATGTTGTACAACAAACAATGCCCAAAAAAAAAAACACAAACCAGTTTAACTTTGCAGTAAATTTTATTTACTTCCTATGTTTATTTTTTCAAGTACATAAGGGACGTAATAAATAGGTGAGATATCTGCAGATAAAGACAGGACATCTTAATCCTCCTCAGATGAGGCTGAATGTGCCTGGTGACCAGGGGGCCATGGGCACTCGCTTGGTTTGCCTCTATAGCAAAAAACAGCACTGTCCAGGCAGTACAGAAAAAGGAGAAGAAAACATCTAGTTTAAGAGCTCTCTGTAAGACTGAGGCAATGTTGTGAATGTAGAGATTTAACAGTTGAAAGTAAAACATTCATTAGCTGCTGTTTATAATCTATTTTCAGTTGAACATTTTGCTAAGTCTCAGTCCTAACTGTGCATTTCTCTGTTTCTCTTTACTAATGACATCTTTTAGTGCCTTGACAGCAGCAGGTAGGTCCGGTTGCATCTCCAGCAGCTTCCTAAATGCCCCTTTGGCCTCATCCAGCTCATTCAGCGACTGGCAGGCCAGGCCCAGTCGGTACCAGGCTTTAGCAGCACCAGGGTCCAGCTGAGTGGCTTTAGCGGCACTGGTCTTAGCCCGCTGTGGTTGGTTCAGTTTCAGCTGGCACAGAGACATGTTTGAGTGAAGCTCTGCTTTGATGATTCTCAGCTCCCCAACAGATGGGATGTGTAGCTTTTCATCTGCTGCGTCTGTGTCTATCTGCCCCTCCATATCGGGCTCCTCTCCTTGTTTCTCTACCTGTCTAAAGAGGCTGCACAGGGGGATGAGAAGTTTGAGGGCCCGGCTGTAGCTGTCGGCTGCTCCCCAAACATCCCCACTCCGGAACCTCACTCCTCCTCTCTCCTTGTGTGACTTCACCCACTCCCACTTTTCACTGGTCGACATCTCCCAGGATTCTTTTCCCTGTGTGAAGGCTCTGAGTTCAACAGTGGCACATAAAGGAAGGATTCCTTCTGAAGGCAGTGTGCTGGAGACTTCTTGTGCATTTCCTAGTGGAGTGACTTGTATCTAAGAAGCAAAACACACACCACGGCATTACGGACCATGTCAACTAAAGTTAAAAGTTAAAATATAGAGGTTGATGGACAGCAGTAGATTGATTTAAAGCAATATTCAGAAATGAATCACCAATTTAAACAAAACAAAAGATGACATTAATACCCCACTGTCTGATCCAAGTTAGCATACAAAGATGGAAAACGGGCTATGTGTCACAGTCTATGGTAATAACTACCATAAACCTTCTTCAGGCTGATACATGTCTGCCTTAGATTAAAGTCGTAGGAAAGACAGACCAAACCAGGGACAAGATAAAAAGCTATGGTGGGACATTTGGAAAAATGGAAGTTCCATTTTAAAATTACCATCTTGAAACGTAGAAACCTGACACATAATGAAGGTTACCCATCATTAGTCAAGTCTCTAAAAATGTAGGCTGTCATAAAAACATTATTATTCAAGATTTTAGGATTATTAGAATTTTGCTTGAGTTTGTTTCTTCTATCTGTGAAAACAATTAGAAAACTATCTAAACTATCTTACACGGGTGAGTGGAAAGGATGTTTTTGGGAATTATTACTGAATACTTTCCTACCTCACATTTCTCACCGGGTCTCATCCTCTCCAAACAAGCCTCTGTGATATCACACTGACCCTCTCCAAGCCTCAGCGTTGTCCAGTCACCCGCTGGAACCTGTAGCACCATGTCTGGGCACCTGAGAAAAGGTGCTGCTACTAATTCTGTAACATCAGAGACTGACATCTCCTCGTCTTTTTTTTCTGACACTGAGCCCTCTGATTCTCCCGCATCAGCTTTGAGCAGCACTCGGACTTGACACAGTGATCCCAGCTTTGGACAGTAATCGGACGAACATGCTAGAGAAACAGGGAAATCATGAGAATTATAATATAATATAATCTACTAATACTAAGATACTATGATCTTTAAAAAACAATCCGTTAAACCAAAAGATAAACAAAGAAAATATTACATGCAGCATTTCCAGGGTCGGAAACAGTCTGTTTGTGTATTTGTTTTGTCTGGACCCTGCAGGGGCCTCTGGGACAGACTGACACCCATGAGGTTCCATCAGCCTCATTGTGATCACCACATGTTTCCTGAAGCTGAGCAGGTTCCATCACTGGCGTTTGGGAAAAAACACAAACATAAAAACATTTGATCAAATACACAGTTTAATGCACAAGAACACGAGAAGTAATGATTCATAGACCAATCCAGGGGTAACAATATATTTTTCTTGGTGAATTATCTACAGTTAACAAGCTTGTTTTTAATCTCCTGATAAGTCAATATGACTTGAAACTTTTATTCCGACCTTTTTTCCACATATAACGGCACTGGATTATTTAAAGATTTGACCTGTAATCCTTTATAGTTGTAGCTTTGACGTCAAGCCAAAAATATGTGGTGATTTTGAAATGATCAAGCTAACAGTTGCACCTGTTCATATGATGATAAAGAAACACTGGGAAAAATGGAAAGGACCATTTTTCATATTTATTATTATCCATTAAATACCAACCTTCCTAACGTGCAATTTAATGAGATAATGTTTCTATAGACATACACTATTTAAACAGCAACGAACAACCATTGGGCTCACCCCAACAACGTGTATCTCATGTTCTGTATTGCACACGCTACTATTAATTGTCACACGTGAATCTTAACATAAACCTTACCCCGTAAACAACTTTCAGCAATTCCATCAATAATAAAACAACAAGTCTAGAAATAACCACACAACAAACAGAAACAAAACGGAATCTGGTGCTCGCGTTCTTCTTCGTCTTCTACAGACACGCTGCTTTGTCTTCTTCTCTCTGTTGATGTTTGGTTGTCAGCTTTAGTAAGAGTAGCATTACCGCCCCCTACCGGGGTCCAGGATCATTCACATTCCTTGTAAATAGATAGCTTTCCTTTTAATGTCTTGACAAAATGCTTGTAACTTTCAAATGATAATTTTTTTCTTCTCAGACACCCCTAAGCTGATTATAGCCTTGCAGCCAGATGTACGTTCATTCTGCAATTAAACACACACACACAACATAAACATAACAATGATGTAATTCAGTACAGAGAGCACATATGATTGTGTATCATACAAACATAATCTTTTAAAACAGATAGTATTTACACAAAAAAAAATGAATATAGACATCAATGAAGGAGGTTATGGACTAGATATATAATCAATAGGTATGATGGTAGAACTTGTCTCATTAATTTGTTTAAAAGCAGTTTCATCCTGTAGGGGTCCCTCTCTCCTCAACTCTTTCATATAACATGGGCCACGGAACACATCATTTGTAGCTTGTGTCTGTTTCTAGTCAACTAATTTCACTTTGTTTGCAAAAGGAGAATACTTTTTTTTAACAACTTCTAACTGTTGCTCCATTATAGGCTCCACACACATGTGTTCAACTTTGCCCATTCACAGATCCCTGGCATACCTTCATCTCCTCATAGATTCATATACTGCTTCTTAAAACACACCTTGAGGCCATAGGTGACAGTATTATAGTACCACCAGGGAATTCTTAGCTGGCCCAGCTACTCGAAAGAGACGAACATATGCTAAAAACTCAGCTTAAGAAGTACAAAAGAATGTAATTGTTTTGTCAGTTTTATTAGTCTATAGTCAGTTCAGACCAAATCAAGGCACTTTACATGGTTAAAGATAGAATAAGGAGTGCTTTCCTTTAAGCAGAACCTGTTGACTGAAATCAGTTTAACAATAGGAAACGTCAGAAGGAACCAAGCTTATTGAGGGTGTTTTTATTTTTCTCAAGCCCCTGTGTTGAATTGAAACCCTGGCAAGAGGATACAAGACATAAAGATAAAAAAGAACAGACCATGATAAAAAGAAGAAAAAATAAGTCAAGTTGAATGGAACAGTCAGCACAAATCAGGCACAAGATGTCCAAAGCACAAAAACTCCATTTAAATTTGCCAACTTTTAACTAGAATACATTGTTGAAAATTAGTATGATAGTTTTTTTTTTTTTTTTGTCATTTAGGGACTTCAGCCTGCTGTCATAAAATTGTGTTAGTAGTCTATTATCTGATATAAGTAAAAAACAAACAACTATTGAATGAAAAATGAGAATGTTAAGTCCACCAAAAAATATAATCTTCAAAATCACAATGATCTCCTCTAATATGAACTGTGATGAAAATAGACAATAAGCAAAAAAAGGGTGGATGAATGAAGATGCAACAGTTTAATATTAATAAAGTACTTTAAACTGGTGATATATATTTATGACAACAAAGTCAAATATATATATAGTTATATATATTCACAATCTCTGTCTCCATTTTAATCTTTCTTTCTGACAAAATAAAAAGAGTGCGGTTTCTTTCATCTTCCCCCATGTGTTACCGATATCATCTTATTCTCCTCAATTTCTCTCGTCTACCCTCTCCTGCAGCCCCCTCACCTTCCTCTTGGCTCCAACCAACTTCCCAGCTGGACTATTGTGAAACATCCCAGTGGGTATGTTCAGATGCACGTATCTCAGGGCCTGGATTCTGCTCGATGTTCGCCAGGAGGCCACTGCAACCTGCCAGTGGTGGAGTCCAGGGAGCAGCTGCAAAATCAGTGGCCAGGCATTAGAGCTGCTCGGAGGGTTGGTGCGACCTCTGCTAACTTCTCTAAGGGGTCCAACGTACGTCATTCAGGGGAACGGTGGTAGAGATAAAATGTAAAAAACGGACATAGATCGATAGAAACGTTAAACATTTTGTTTTAAAAAAAACATTTTGCCTGTGTTTGCTCTTTTCTTTATGAAAGTGGTGCTTAGCTCTCCTAGATTTCTACCCCTCATAACTCTTTATTCAGACAGTAATAAACACACAACTTTCATGACACTGGGAACCCAGAGGCTTATTCTAAAACATCATGTTATAAGGAGCTGCTGCATATTCTGCTCTTTCTGCGTATACAGGTTTAAGTGTTATGGGCCTTTTAACAGCATCTAGGATGTATTTGCTCAGTAGCTTCTTCTGGGCTGTTTATTGTCCAAAGAGATAGACCTGATGACTGTTGCAGACTTTACAATGTAAACTCAGTGTGAACCCTGAAACTTTATCCTGCTTAGTTCCCACACTCTGCATTAGTTGACTAGATAATCTAGATAAACGGAAGGATCATCAAATATAATTTAGGCTTCACCACTATACTCAGGTCTAAAATTAATCATTTCAGTTCCACGTGTACTGTGACCTTGTTTGGGAAATACTGTGCTTTTCAACCGTGGTGCCAGCCAAAAAGAAGGTTAAACTATTGAAGTTTCCAGGTCCTGTGGAGGCCGATGCTATGAACAATCAGGCCCACAGAATCCAAAAGGTCAAGTGTGAGATCTAAGAGAAAAGTGCCATTATTACCATCACAGAGTGTGAGTATAATACTCTATCTATTGCTGTCATAGCTGCTTTCAGAGTGATCAATAAAAAAGCGCAGCTTGATGCATGGCTGTGTAATTCAGACAGATTGCCAGGAGAGTTGCACAAGAGTTGAAGTATGACTTTCTACTTCCATTAGCAGGGATGGAGCAGAGCCTGCCAGGTTAGGTCCATTTATCTACATTATAATGTCATGATGAGACTGCTCCAACTGCAAAGGAAAAACAACGGGCTCCTAGTTAAACTCCCAAGATAACAAGTCATTATAGATGCAATATCAACATACACACAGGCTGCACACTCAAGCCGTGCTCCCCTGAAAATCTTGTGTTTACTGGCAGCTTGGAGATGCGCATCAAATGCCATCTACATATAATAGATTTATACCTTTTTATGACAAACTAGGGATACTGATTATATTTCAACACTGCATAAGGTAGAGAAGGCCAAAGTTTGAAGGGTTGGAAGAGTTTCTGACTCCATTTGTCATCATATTTAGAATCAATTGCACTTCTGAGTTCAGCTGTGGGATTTAAACATAGGGCATGCACGACAAATCAAATCACCTGCTGAACTGCAATTTGCAATGATTATAAGTCTATTTAATCCTGCATATTTCCACAGACGCACAAGCACACATGTTACTACCGTGTTACCATTACTAAGCACATTTAAATCGTTGCATGCTAATTTGTATCTGCCCACTGGCAAAGTACAGAACCTGGCATTAAGTATGGCTAAATTGGTTTTATCTGGATCTTAAGAGGCTTCTTAAGTCCGTTAAATAGTTTCTCAGGGGGACAGTTAAAGATTTGGGATTGCAGAGCTTGAGTAGGAACCCACTGAGGGGAGGAGATGGTTATCGGAAGCCACATGGCAGTTTGTGGGATGTGGCTGGTGGGGAGTGTTTTTATCGATGAAAGTGGTGAAATGGGCTCTTCCTGTAGGAGAGCCTGAGGAGATTCTTGTGACAGTACTTCCAGGCATTGATTTGTTGTATGTGTGGTTGGTTCTGTGATTACAGATTAGAGCTCTGCATGCATATTAGAGCACATCTGGTTACACTTCTTCTCGAACAGTTATACTTACATGCAGACTGCCATTCCATGTGACCTTTTAATACCATCTAAGAGTGAAAGATAAAGTCAGTCACTGATATATCTGCACACAGGCACGCATGCCATTTGCTCATGTCTTCAAACAGTTGTTGTAGTGTCCAGTTTTCCCGTTTGTTTTTGTCTGGGTGATCTGTATGATAATTACAGTAACATAATCAGTATCTTCTGATGTTAAAGCTTGGTCAACATATCCATAAAGATTTTATAGTTCTGTTCAGGAGAGGCCTTCTGTGAGAAGGTTTGAGAGTTAACTCTGTACAGGTGGGATCCTTGTACCTCTTCCTTAAAGGCCAACTTTTTCTCATCAGAGTCAGAAATCACCTGGTCTGGTGCAATTTATTCAGACATTAGGTTTGGATCAAGGTATGTGGTCCATAGCAGGGGGCAAGCGGCTCTAATTCAGACCAGCCTCAAGTCAAAGTAGCAGCTAGCAGCAGTCTGTTAACTGGTGGTCCGGGGCATGTCCTGTCATGTGTGTCTGTCAGTTATAGTTAGTGGGTCCATACGCTGAGGTTGGCCTTTCTGTGTCAAATCACCAAGGGCTGTATGAGCTCTACATTGAGGGTGGTGACAAGTTAACTGACCAATGGCATGAGGAAACAACATAATGGCATGACAAATGTTGAGTAAACAAAGACTGGGAATTTTGAGTTTTGTCTTTTTTTTTTTATTTACTTAAAGATATGATTGAAAATGCATAATAATAATCACTATGATTGCCAGCTTCATACCAGGTAAAAAGTGCAGTTTAAGACATATGCAAAGTTATTGAAATTCCTTCAGGAAATGTGGGTACAAGTTAGTAATCATCGACTGGGAATCTTTATCCATATCCACTAATGTTTTTTTGCACCATATTGTTTCAAATTTCTCAGCTGGACCCATAAGAAAGTGAATTAAACAGATCCAGATATGCGTGCACGAATGCCTTTCCAGAAATGACAGTTTCAGTTTGAGTACAGAGCTTCCTGTATCCTTCAGATATATATATGGCAGTATAAGGAGAGGGTAAAACAGAACAGGGTAGCCCACCCATCGCAGTCCAACATACGGAGGGCAGATGTACAGGGCTGTGAGTACAAAAGGTTGATCTAAATAAGAGCCAGCTGATGCTGCCGTTTGTCCTTAGAACTGGACCCCTAACTTCTCCATTTCTCGTTCATCTTTGTAGGCCTCTATCTCTAATCTTTTCACATTGTTTGACCCATGACTTGGTGCCCATGCTTTTTCACATCAACCCCCCCCTTCCCCCCCCTCTTTTGTTCTGCTCCGAGCAGGTGTATGTGTGGCAGATCTCAGGGAGCAAAATA